TTTTTTTTTTTTCTTCAGGAAGGAGTTAGAAGAGGAAAAGATCAGTAAGTTTAGTTGATAATTTAAGAAAAAAGGTAAACAATTTGGTACGATTTACATTGACTTTCAGCCAAAAACTTTGAACCAAAAGTAGATGGTCGTTTTTTACTGCTTTATGAGTTTTGTTTACAAGTAATTTTCCTAATTAATTGCTGCGAGCTTTTGCTTTTTTTCTTATTTTTTTTTGTCTTTTTACTTGGTAAAAAAAGAGTCAAAATGAATGGACTTCTGATAGAATTTTTTGGTGAATATTCATTCGTGCTTTTTTTTTTTGAAAATGAAGAATAGATTACGGGATATATTATGCTTTAACAACACAGACTAAGTCTTCCATATTTTTTCTGGGTCTGAGTCATATTTGTTCAGAAATGTAAAAATAGATATTTTTTGTTTTAAAGATGACAACATAATGGAAAAAAAAATCTTTTATTATTAGGTGTTTTAATTTTAGAATAATTATCTTCTGTTTTATGTTCTCACGTCTAAGTAAACTTCAGTAGTCTATTATCAGAGAAAAGTTGAAAATAAACAAGCATAAAAAAACAATGAAAGTTTAAAAAGCTATTTACTGTTTCAGTGTACCATCTCAGCAATAGAAGACAGATAAAATACCGTGGTTTTTGTGGTTTTATAAGTGAAATAAATGCTAAAAATTACGATGACGTGATATAAATTCAGTTAGACAGACCCCGGTAAATATACATCAGTATAAATGAATTTTTATCTTTGTAAACAATAAACGTAATCTAAAAACTTTTTATTTTTATTAGATAATAAAAAAAAAACAACAATTTAACAATTTTTGATAACAGCGAATAAAATTTGATTTTGTTTGCCAACCTTTGTTCTTCTTTTTCCTCTTTTCTCTACAGTCTTATTGACAAACTTCCGTTTTCTGTACGACTTTTTTTTTTTGGTAAAAATGGCAGTATTCTAAATATGGGTATTCGGCCAATTACAAACATAATTACAGATGGAAACTGGTAGACTTCGGTTTCGTCAGTCAAACCTATATCAGCAACTTCGTCAGAAAATCCTCGTTGTTTTCTGGTTGCTCCTGAAACTCAACGATTAACCATCATTGAGCAGCAAATGTCTCTAATGACAGTAAAGTGTAAATCTCTCTTCTTGTCATAGTTTTATTTCTGAACTATAAAGCACGATAAAAATCTTTCAAAATTCAAAAGTTATTGCTAAGTAGCAGTATAAATTTTCCTACTTGCTTGATTTTATCACTGGCTTCAACAATTTAAAAAGTGCCAAAAAATTATGCAGTATTTGCGCATTTTTTAATAGACGACAGAAGAACATAAGCGATAAGATTAGAAGACAAGCTGTATTTAATTGTGTTTTTCTTCAAAAAAGTGAAAGAAAGGAGAAGTTGTTAATAACTTATCACCAGGAACTGTATTGTCAAGAAAACAAGCAATACAAGGCCCAACAAACATCGGTAGTGTCAAGAACCCTGATAGTGTTCCATCAATTAATTCGTAACCTATAACAAATAGTTTTTTGACAAAAATCAGTTGATGTTAATCGGCTTTCAAATGGTCTATTTACCTATATTAATCGAATTTTCAGTAAAATATTTCGGTGTCATAATGCCGAACACTAATGACCATCCAACTATTGCCATATTTCGTGCTACCGATAAATCAACCTAGGCATAAGAAAAATATCTTGTTGAAAATTTTATTAACTTTTCAAGAACTGTTTAAATTTTAAGAAATCAAACCAATTGCATGTATGAAAATGCAATTCCTACAGCCGTCGCTGAAGTAATTGCAATTATTGCTCCTACCAACGGATCCGGAATAGCCGATAATACCGCTCCAACCTTTGTGAACAGCCCAGCAGATATCAGTATCAGTCCAGCTACAACCATCATCGATCGAGCTGCCACCTATAACATTGTTATAGGAGAGTATTTTTGTTGTTATTCTGAGCGGAAAACAATAAATGCCCTAAAAAGTTTGTAACAAAGAAAAAAGCCTATTTGACTAACTTTTGTTGTTTCCATAATACCAACATTGGCTGCAAACGTACATATACCGCTTCCAACATGAAACAGACCTGCTAGTGCAGTTCCAAGGCCTAGAGACAATTTAACTGATGTATTCAGACTTACTGTTCTTTTCAACAAGATTCTATACTCATTTAAAACTGAAGTAGGATCTTTTTCTGATAACTGTTAAATGTTTTCCTTATACGTACAATGCAAACGTCGAATATGCTTGGTAAATGTAAGCTTTAATTCAGTTTTTCCTCCTTTCTTGGCTGCTCCAATCAGAGTTAGTTTATTCATTATGAAAAGAGATAGACTTAATTGAATTATGAGGTCTTAACACAGTTACTGACTCAGTTAAGTGCACCAGTCGTATAAATTTATTGCATCCATCTTTTATCTCAAAAAATTCAGTTACAAAGTAAATGCTGCTGTTCCAATACTAACGCGCAATTACACTTTTTAAATTATTTTGCCTGCCTTCTCATCTGTGATTAATTTTTGCTATCAAATTAAAATTTTGAACAGATAAAACTATGCAGCATTATTACCAAGTAAATAGTAATTATTTTTGTTCAGGTTTTTCAAATATCTATTTAACGGTCTTTATGAAGATAAGCCAAATTTGTGAATACCTCGATTACAGCCATGTTCAGTTATTTGGTTAACTGTTTTATTTATAGCTTAGCATTGTCTTAAGTACTATTGATAAAATTGTTGGTTAAGCACTGTATTTGGATTATAGATGGTTTGATGTCAACCTAGATACAGTAAAAACTTTTTCTTTCACTGGCAAACGTTTATCATCACCTCC